AAATAGCTTAGAAAATATTCATTCTGAATGATTTCCAGAGATCATAAACTCAATGTGTAGCAGCCAGGCAAGTAATGTACTAAACTGAGGCAGTCTAGATTTAAGATTACAGGGAGTAAAAACATTCATAAACTGTGTCCAAGCTTTAGAGAAGCTTTTTTGTTGTTGTTGTTTTCCTCAAATATGCATGGAAGGAACAACTGGGATGAGGGAAAGGAGAAAAGAGAAAGGAAGAAACAAAGCAATGTATATACACAGGATAGCTGGATTGCTACTGGTCTATTGAAAGGAATGGTTAGTGCTTAACTCTTTTTAATTTTTTTAATTAATTAATTAATTTTTTTTTTTTTTTTGGTGGAACCGGGGATTGAACTCAGATCCTTGCATTTGCCAGTCAAGAGCTTATCCTACTGAGCCATCTCCCCAGCCCCAGCACTTGTGTCCTTTAAGGCATCAACTCTGGGATCTGATAAGGGACAATACAAACAAGTGTTAGATCTGGCACATGCTTTTAATTCTAGCTACTCAGAAAGCTGATAGGGGATGGGGAGATAGCTCAGGAGAATAAGCACCTGCCTGGTAAGCACAAGGTCCAGAGTTCAATCCCCAGTACTGGAAAAAAAGAAAAAGCTGAGACAGGAAGATGTAAGTTCAAGGCCAGTCAGGACAAAGCACTGAAGAAAACTCTCACAAAAATAAAAAGGGCTGAGGGTACAGTCCAGTGATAGAGCATCCCTGGGTTATCCTCAGTACTGGAGAAAAATTTAATATTATTTTATGTGGGGAAGACAGGAGCGGACAGGATCTGGGAGAAGACTCAACAAAGTTAAAGAGGTAGCAAAAATATCCATCTAATTACTGAGTTTAGTGAACAGAATCCATGCAGACTTTTTTTTTTTTTTTAAATCTTTATTTTGTACAGGGTCTCATTACGCAGCTTGGACTCAGTGACCTTCTGGCTCAGCTTCTCCAGTGCTGGTATTACAGATGTGTGCCACCATGCCTGATTTTGGTTGCCAACTCAGCATGGCGCCAGCACAGCATGCAGTAGCAGGGATTGAACCTGGGTCCTTGTGCCAGCCAAGGCAGGTGCTTAGACTGCTAAACTATCTCCCTAGGTCTCATGAAGATTTTTATTAAATCACTGCTATATTTTAGAGTAAACAGGGATTTCAAAAGCTGAGTCCG